CCTCTTCTCATAGGACAAGCCCCTCAGCTCTGGAACTAGCCTTGTTGCAAGCCTTTGCACTTTCTACAATTTTTTGACATGTTTCACCAGGTGTGGGTTCCATACATGGTGCTGCATACTCCAATATGGGCTTGATCTACATGGTGTACAGTGTTGTGAATGACTTCTTACTTTGATGTCAAAATGCTGTTCTCAAGTTTGCCAGGCACCCATATGCTGCGGCAGTTATTTTTGGTTGATGTGTGCCTCAGGAGATGTGCTTAGTATGATGATCGCCTAAAGATCTTTTTTCTTGAGTGAGTTTTGCAGCCTTTGACCTCTTAGGCTGTACTCCATCTGCAGTCTTCTTTGTCCTTCCCCAAGCTTCATAATTTTTCCCTTGCTGGGGTTCAACTCCAGGAGCCATTTGTCAGACACGGCTTGCAGCCTGTCCAGATCCCCTTGTAGTCTTACCTGATACTTGTTCATTTGTATTCTTTTCATTAGCGTCACATCGTCTATGAATAGGAACACCTCTGAGTCTATCCCTTCAGTCATGTAATTCACGTATACAGTGGCCCGCCAATGAAGGCATTGTCTCGCTCACTGTTACCTTCGCTGCTTGAACCGTCTTCCAATGCCACCACACGTTACTATTCTAACCCCTCTCTAGTCCCTAGGTGCCTTTCCCTACGGATTCTGGTATTTTCCTTCAACGCCAATCAAGGCCTATTTAGCAGTGACATCCCGGCTCAGGGTAATCGGGTGACTTCAATAGTGCTTTTCCAGGTTTTCCCTGTTGGTCTTGCTTACGAAGAACCAAAATTAACACTCGCTGTTGTTTCCCAACCTATCTCAGGCATATAATTTAATTGGTATTCTTCGGATCCTTTCTCAATGGGACCTTTAATTAAAGTGCCCTCTCTACACACATGATACTCCGTACTGTCCAACTATTTGACCATACCTCGCTGCATTACACTGCAAGCCCCTATCCACTTGAATAATGGTTTACAATATGTTCTTTATATCTCTCTCCTCCACGAGCATTTTCTATCTCCCAGACTTTGCCTTCTTGTTTCTTCCTTACCTACCGACCACTTTCTGTTACTGTGGCGTGGATTTTAAATGCCCACCATTCCTCGGGGGGGGGTCCCTCATTGTGACTTCCACGTGGCATCCAGTTGAGACTTTTCTCTAAGCCTCTCACCCCCACACATGATTTAAATACGGTACTTACCTGCCACCCATTTTGATCCTCGTACTCATACTCCTCTCTATTCATCGATCCTAACAGTCTGCCTCTTCACCACTGCACAAACTTTCACCTGGTCTGTTCTACCTTACTTACCTACAGCGATCATTTTTCAAATCATTCTTACTTTCCCTTCATATTCACACACCTTTCCGTAGCCCTCGCAGGCAATTGATCGGGCAAATTGGGACCTTACTCGCAGCTCACTGCTTTTAGTGAGGTTACCTTCTTCATCCTCCTTATGAGCTCCTACACCTCTTCTCGACGCAGTTTATACCGCAGTCTTCTCATTCTATACCCCATACCTCAGGCAAGCATTCTCATAAGTGCGTGCCTTGGTGGTCCTCCTGCTTGTGCTCGTGCAGTACATTGAAACGCACTGCATGGGGCAGGTAACCGATGACAATAGAAACCAAGGAGAGACTTCTTGATTTTCAAAGCAGAAGCGTGCGAACGCTTCGCCGTGTCATCCGTGATGCCTAAACGCACTTGCTGGTGAGACTATGTTTCCACCATCACTCTGCTTCTTCAATGACAGTGCATCTGGAAAAAAGTGAGGAAATTGAGTGGTAAATACTCTCCTGACCCGGCTCCTGTTTAATTCGGTCGCCGGTATTGATGTAGCAAACCCTCTGACGTTGCCATTGAAATTGGCACTCATCTGGTCCGAATTTCCCGGCTCCATCTATGCCCCTCGTAATCTTTCCTCAAAGTCTCCAGAGAGTTATACCCTTGGACTTTTGTTCTCTCGAGAAGAAAATACAGTAAATGTGCCTTTTACACTTCAAGAACTGGAGTCAACACTCTCGAGCTCGCCTGATCATCGCAGCTGGACCTACGACATACATATCGATGTTACAACATTTACATCAGTCAGTCCTTGTAGTCCACTTACACCGCTTCATCATAATTGGGCACAAGGAGTTTCTTCCCCTACTGTGAAATCTGCCATTGATCACCTTATTCCGCAAGCCGGTACTACAGGACAAGATGCCTTCCCACAATCGCCCCCCAATCGCTCTACTAGTGCAGTTTGGCAAAGTTATGGAACGACTGTAAATCGCCGTTTATTGTGGTATTTAGTAGTACACACAACAGTCTCTCTGCTAGTCAATATGGCTTTCGTAAGGGCCGTTCCACCATAGACCCCTTACTACTCTTTGATACGTATGTTCGTAATGCCTTTGCAAATAATCACTCAGTTATTGCCATATTTTTTGACCTTGAGAAGGCATATGACACAACTTGGAGTATAATATTTTGGCCCAAGCCCACTCCTTAGGCCTCCGAGGCAATCTACCATCCTTCCTTAAGAACTTTTTAACTGACAGACACTTCCGTGTTCGAGTCAATAATGTGCTTTCCCTGGACTTTGTCCAAGCTGAAGGTGTCCCTCAGGAATGTGTTCTGAGCACAACACTTTTTCTCCTTGCTATAAATGATTTGGCCTCTGTTCTTCCACCCAATATTTGGTCATCACTCTATGTTGATGACTTCGCTATTGCTTGTGCAGGCGCTGACTGTCATCTCATTGCAGTTTCTCTCCAGCATGTGGTTGACCGTGTTTCCACTTGGACCACCACGCATGGGTTTAAATTTTCCAATACCAAAACTCACCAAATTACTTTCACTAGACGCTCTGTCATCTCCGATCATCTTTTGTATCTCTATGGCTCTCGTATCCCCGAACGTGATACAGTCAGGTTTCTAGGCCTTCTCTTTGACCGTAGGTTATCCTGGAAACCTCACATTATCTCTCTGAAGGCAACTTGTCACAGCCGGCTAAACCTTCTTAAAACCCTTGCTCATCTTTCCTGGTGAGCTGATCGTCGAACTCTGCTTCGCCTACATTCAGCCCTCGTTTTATCGAAACTCGATTATGGTGACCAGATTTATTCAGCGGCCTCTCCTGCTACTCTCTCTAGCCTTAATCCCATCCATCACCAAGGATTACGTTTATGCCTTGGTGCTTTTCGCTCTTCCCCTGTTGAGAGCCTCTATGCAGAAGCGAATGTTCCATCCTTGTCTGATCGCCGTGATGCCCATTGCCTTCGCTACTATGTATGCTCTCATGATCTCCACAATCCTTCCATTTATAGAATGGTCACTGATATTAGTAGACATTCTTTATTTGTTCGCCGCCCGTTTGCTCCGTCCCTTTTCTCTTCGCCTACATTCGCTCTTGTCTTCCCTTCAGTTACCACCTTTATATGTTCATGTAGCATCTCACTTTTCCCTACCCCCCTGGGAAGTTCCAGCTGTTCGGGTCTGTTCTTTCTCACTCCCTTGCTCGAAAGCCCAACTGCCTACGGTGGCTTCCTGCTCTCTTTTTCTTGATCACTTCCACTCTCATTCTCATGCCTTCGCTGTGTACACAGATGGCTCTAAGTCTTCAGACGGTGTCGGATTCGCAGCAGTGTTTCCGGACAGCGTCGTGCGAGGGCATTTACTATCTTCAGCTAGCATTTTTACTGCTGAATTGTATGCCATTCTTGCAGCACTTATTCGTATCGCATCTATGCCTTTGTCATCATTTGTGGTAGTCTCAGACTCCCTTAGTGCTCTACAGGCTGTACGAAAATTTGATACATCTCACCCCCTAGTTCTCCGTATCCAACTTTGGCTACCCGTATCTCTACCAAGCATAAAGATATGTTTTTTGTTGGGTCCCTGGTCATGTCGACGTACAGGCAATGAACAGGCAGACACTGCTGCGCGTCAGCAGTACATGACCTACCAATTTCCTATAGAGGTGTTCCATTTCTGGACTATTTTGCTGCAATAGCTACCCCACCTTCACACCCGTTGGCAACAACGTTGGTCAACTCTGCTCGTAACAAACTTCATTCTATTAAACCGAGCATAGGTTACTGGCCTCTCTTGTCATTAGTGCCGAGTTGGGAACCACTCTCTCCCGCCTTCGCATTGGCCACACTCGTCTTACTCATGGTATCTCATGGAGAGGCACCCTGTTCCTCTCTGTGAGCAGTGTCAAGTTCCAGTATCGATTAGCCACATTCTGTTAGACTGCCCTCTCTATCAACGAGCATGCAGAATTTACCTCCAACATCATCTTCGTTCTACTACTCTCTCTTTACCTTCCCTTCTTGCTGATGGACCCCTCCTTTAATCCTACTCTCTCATGACTTCTTGACAACGACTGATTTACTCCACAACTCTGATGATGATACCTTTCGCACTCCCCTCAGCCCTTTCTAGTTCAGACTCTTGCTGCCCTTCACCCTTTCACCATCCACTGCCCCGCTGTTATACGTAACCTATTACTCATCCATCTCCCTTTTGCCACCTGATGCCCTCGCTTCCTTCCTGCCCTGCAGCGCTGTATAGCCCTTGTGGCTTAGCGCTTCTTTTTTATTATAATAATAACACTTTCCCATTAAATGTAATAATTGTAATAGGAGTTTGGATATCAGGCATTCATGTTATCCAAACTCCTGTGTTAGATTGGTTTAAGTGGAAGCAAATTTTTTTTGGAATTCGACACTGGAGTGCGAGCGTAGTAACATCAATGAGTGATATGAAAACCAGTTAGCCAGACTTGAGTTTTGGATGTGGGAAATATACTTTTTCAGTTGTGTGTAGCTGTTGCAGCTCGGTGGGTTATCATTGATAACATCTCTGCCTTTTTGGAAAGACAGGCAACTACAGTACTAGGGCATGCAGTAGATGTTTTATTCATTGGGTCACTGCCCTGGTGAAAAAAGGCTAGTGTAATAATACCATTTGAAGTTATCTAAATTTTATTTTGTGGTTAACAGTAGGATAATTTCCTCAGATCAAACCTGCTTTTGGTTCCCATTTTCCAAGTGCTATATTACCCTTATGGGTTTAGTACTTATCCTTGAATATATAATAATAATTAAAGTTAGAATTAGTGATAATGAGAGTTATTTGCCTCATAAGAAATAGACAATTCGACTTTTCAGTTAGTAGATGTCGTAACTATACTCGTAGTTGTCTGGATCAAAATTGAAAATCTCGGCCAGTTCAGCATGGCTGAAGTCTCCATTATCATAAAATGCCTTCAGGCGTTCCTGTACCTTGCTGTTGGTGAATACATCTGGGAAAGGTGGTGGTTCGTATGGTTCCTCTCTGGTAGCATCTGGTTCTTCCACCACTGCAGGGAAGGGCTTGTCAAGGCCAGAGTCTTCATCTATAATGGCTGGTGCATGGGTTCTCCAAGTTGGTACTGGTGGTGCGGTGGTTGTGGTTATTCGGGGTTTTGTGGTTGTGGATAATGTGGTTGTTGGGGGAGTTGTGGTTGTGGGTATTGTGGTTTGTTGGGGGAGTTTGTGGTTGTGGGTATTGTGGTTGTTGGGGAGTTGTGGTTGGGGATGTTGTGGTTGTGGGTGTTGTAATGATTGTTGGGGAAGCTGTGGTTGTGGGTATTGTGGTTGGGGGTGTTGTGGTTGTTGAGGAAGTTGTGGTTGTGGGTGTCGTAGTGGTTGATGTGGGAGTTGTGGTTGTGGGTATTGTAGTTGTGAGTGTTGTAGTGGTTGTGGGTACTGTGGCAGTAGTTGAAGGTGCAGTGGTGGTTGTGAGTGTTGTGGTTGTGGGTATTACGGTAGTAATTGGGGGTGCTGCGGTGGTTGTAGGTGTGGTGATGGTTTGGGGAGTTGTAGTGACAGTGTGTACAATTGTTGTGATGGTTGTGGGCGCGGTGGTTGTGACTGTACTTAAATGTTCTGAAACCAGTGCCGATGTCACTATCGTGGGTTGAGTAGTGGTTGATGTTGCTTCAGTAGCGGTTGATGTTGCTTCAGTAGTGGTTGATGTTGCTTCAATAGTGGTTGATGTTGCTTCAGTAGTGGTTGATGTTGCTTCAGTAGCGGTTGATGTTGCTTCAGTAGTGGTTGATGTTGCTTCAGTAGTGGTTGATGTAGCTTCAGTAGTGGTTGATGTTTCAGTAGTGGTTGATGTTGCTTTAGTAGTGGTTGATGTAGCTTCAGTAGTGGTTGATGTTGTTTCAGTAGTGGTTGATGTTGCTTCAGTAGTGGTTGATGTAGCTTCAGTAGTGGTTGATGTTGCTTCAGTAGTGGTTGATGTAGCTTCAGTAGTGGTTGATGTTGCTTCTGTAGTGGTTGGTGTTGCTTCAGTAGTGGTTGATGTTGCTTCAGTAGTGGTTGATGTTGCTTCAGTAGTGGTTGATGTTGCTTCAGTAGTGGTTGATGTTGCTTCAGTTGTGATCGGTAGAGCTTCAGTAGTGGTTGATGTTACTTCAGTAGTGGTTGATGTAGCTTCAGTAGTGGTTGGTGTTGCTTCAGTAGTGGTTGATGTTGCTTCAGTATGGGTTGATGTTGCTTCAGTAGTGGTTGATGTTGCTTCAGTTGTGATCGGTAGAGCTTCAGTAGTGGTTGATGTTGCTTCAGTAGTGGTTGATGTAGCTTCAGTAGTGGTTGATGTTGCTTCAGTAGTGGTTGGTGTTGCTTCAGTAGTGGTTGATGTTGCTTCAGTAGTGGTTGATGTTGCTTCAGTTGTGATCGGTAGAGCTTCAGTAGTGGTTGATGTTGCTTCAGTTGTGGCTGATGTAGCTTCAGTTGTGGTTGATATAACTTTAGTAGTAGTTGATGTAGCTTCAGTTGTGGTTGATGTAGCTTCAGTAGTGGTTGATGTAGCTTCAGTTGTGGTTGATGTAGCTTCAGTTGTGGTTGATGTAGCTTCAGTTGTGATCGGTAGAGCTTCAGTAGTCGTTGCTGTTGCTTCAGTTGTGGTTGATGTAGTTTTAGTAGTGGTTGATATAGCTTCAGTTGTGGTTGATATAGGTTCAGCAGTGGTTGATGTTGCTTCAGTTGTGGTTGATGTAGCTTCACTAGTGGTTGGTGTAGCTTTAGTTGTGGCTGTAGCTTCATTAGTGATTGATGTAGGCTCAGTAGTGGTTAACAGAACTCCAGTAGATTTTGGCTGAGCTTCGGTAGTGGGTGGTATAGCCAGAGTAGTGGTTAATTTAGTTTCAATAGTGGTTGATCTAATTTCATCAGTGGTTGGTGAGGCTTCAGTGGTGGTAAGTAGTGCTTCAGTAGCGGATGATGTACTTTCAGTAGTAGTAGTGTACTCTGTGGTCTCAGTTGGTTGTCTGGCGGTTACTGTTGAGAATTTGCTTGTATCGAAGCTCTCAGCTGGACGGAAAACATCTGTAATTACCTTGTCTTCTGTAGTCTTAGATGAATATAACACCTCTGTAACTACCTTGTCTTCTGTAAACATCCTGTCCTCTTCTGTAGCCTCGGCTGAGTGTAATGCCTTCTCTGTAACCACCTTGTCCTCTTCTGTAACCTCTTTGTCCTCTTCTGTAACTACCTTGTCCTCTTCTGTAACCTCTTTGTCCTCTTCTGTAACCTCTTTGTCCTTTTCTGTAACTACCGTGTGCTCGCCTTCGTCTTCATCTGGGGTGGCCGGTACCCCACTCTCAGCCTCCTCCGGTACAGTGGAGATAGCAGCAGACTTGTTGGCTAAAAGGCCTTCCTTCTGGAGCATCTCGCTTACCGGAATGGAATTATTAGCTACGGAAGAGCCTATTATCTTGTTCCCAGAGAACCTGATTTTGATGCCCAGCTTTTTCATGAGGGCCAATGCTCTCTCGTCCCCAGCTTCCAGTCTCTCCTTCAGACGGTTAGTCACAATCCGAAATTTCTCCCCAGAGCCAGAAAATCTTAAACGTATTTTCCTAAATTCTTTTTTTAAAGCTAGGCGAATTTTTTTTGCTCCCCTTTCAATGGAGTGACTTGCACTTAAAATTCCTTGTTTGGTGGCATTTCCTCCAGTGATGAAGGCTCTGGCAACAGCTTCCATGCTTACATCATACGATCTTCTTATGTCTAAAGCATCGGTCTTGATTTTCTTGGCAGCTTGGGAGATCTTCTGTGACACAGACGAAAACCATGACTTCCATTTACTGGGTTTGATAGTGGTGGGGATGACTGTGGTGATGGAGGGTGGTGCTCTGGTAGTGGTGGTGGCCAACCTCGCAGTCACCTCCTGCTCGCTCTTCTGAAATAATGACAACACATTTAGTGTCTCATAAAATGCATCATTGCTGAATAACATATCTATATACCTCCAGGTTTCCTATATACCTTTGTTGACATAAATGAAAATTAAATTTTGAACACAATGCAAATATACTTTTAATATTTCATAATTTAAATATACCCAACCACAAGCCATGTCATCAAATAACTCTGCGAGACACAGATAATTTTTTTAAATAATCCCTTCAAGGGAAGTCCCTTCATGCTGATGAAATACTCTTGATCCAAGGAGCTGAAACTATCCTCCACTTCCTTAGATCAAACCTGATTACCTCTAATTTCCTATATATTGTATGACGTCTAGACTTATAATAAAAATATGTGACATTGTGATTCCAGGTCAGTTTAAAAGCATCACTTCATATGTTAACCAGGAACCTGGTGCCTTCTCACTCCTGTTTAACCCATGCGAGTTTAATATTCTTAATAATAATAATAATAGTAATAATAATAATAATAGCGCCCTCTTCCAAGGAGCTCATATTTGGTTTAATATCATGGAATGCATCATTATAGAGTATTGCATAAATGTGTATAAATTTTACGAAGGATTGTGTGGCGATTTTGCAGTGTGTTAATCCCAGAGCATGTTGCACCCTGAGGCTGGCCTCACTAAACTCTTTGTACGTAACTTCTGTAATACTGAATGTGATCTATATCTCTGTCCAGTGACCTTGTGGACGCTACGGAAGAATAAAGAAAGGGGCGGAGAGGTTCCCTACTATGTTTTATGTACTTGTCTTCATGACCTTTTAGAAATACAAATTATTTTGAAGGAATCTATCATAGCAAGTATGATATCGTACTTAAAGTACGATATCATACTTGCAAATTACAAGGAATACCCATAATTTTAAAAAATAAAGGAGAATTAAAACTATGAAGCACTAGGATCCACAGGATATAATACATGTAAGAAAATATATAGGACACCTGTAAGGTCCAGTGGTCGATTCCCGGTACGGGTGGAAACATTAGGACGTGTATTCTTAAGACACCTGCTATCCATGTTCACCTATCAATCAAATATGTACCTGGGTGTTAGTCGACGGGTGTGGGTCGCATCCTGGGACAAAACTGATTAATTTGCCCGAAATGCTCTGCACAACAAGGGGCTTTCTATATAGAAGTATGTCACTGATGTCAGATAGGCCTGTATACCTTGTACATGTACTTAAAGAAATAAAGATTATTATTAGTAGTAGTATTATCTTTTGTTTCCAAAACAGTGTAGAACCAAGCTGGAGTGCTGAAGCAGATGCTTAAACTTGTGACAGGTCATCACCTAGTTAATGCCTGTGTTAGGAGATACCGAGTTGATTCCTGACCACTGAACCATGGATGTCTCTCGGTATATATACACTGAGAGACATCCACTGTTTTAGGGATTAAGGCATCCTTGAACGATGATGAGTAGGTTATGAACAATCATTATGCATAGCGTGTAACTATGCCAATCAACCTTAGTGTATATTCTTGGCCTCAGGACATTTTCCAGTGGTTTTTAAGACTGCTAGGATGATCTTTCTTGGTAAGCCCAATAAAGACATCCACCAACCTGGGAACTATAGACCTATATCTTTACTTGAAGTCACTGGAAAAGTTCTTGAGAAGATCATTTCCAACAGATTGAACTACTATATGGAGTTTAATCACTTTTACTGAAAAACAATTTGGCTTTAGAACACATAGAGGTACCAGTCATGCAATAAATGTTATTTTCGATACTGTAGCAAGTCTAAAACATCAGGGCAATCTTGCCCTAATTGCCACCAGAGATGTTCATAAAGCTTTTGATAGCTTATGGCATGATGGTCTTATATACAAACTCATTGACCTACCAGACCATAACTGGACTTTTCTCAGATTAATATATAATTTCTTAACTCAAAGAAAAATCATTCCCACCTTTCATGGCAGGTCGACAGAGCCTTTTATACCGACAGCTGGTGTCCCACAAGGTTCTTGTCTCAGTCTAATTCTGTTCAACATTTATGTGAAGACCTTCCTCAACCAGAGTTTAATGATACAATTGTGACACAGTTTGCAGATGATGTTATTCAAGTCGTCTCATCAACTCCGGTAACAGGAAAATACAAGTATGAGAGAGTCATAGAAAAAATGAATATTGAACTTCGTCGAACATCTAATTGGGAAAAGAAATGCAGAATTACGACTAATCCTGACAAAGTCGTTGTTAGCACGATAGGATGTTTTGCATCAACAATCGAAGATAAAGGGGGTATCTCCTTCAGAGGTACACCTGTAGCCATTAGAAACCCTAACAAGATTTTGGGATATGAAATAGACAGGCTGCTCCACTCAACATCTCATGTAACTAAAAAGATCAACATAGCCAAAGCCGGTCTTAGCAGTCTCTTTCGATTCAATCAAGCCCCTCAACATGTCAAAAAACATCTGTATAAAATGCTAATAAGACCTATACTCGAATACCCTTGTGTTCCAATGTCATTAACAACAAAGACCAACATGCTACGGTTACAAAGGGTCCAGAATAGAGCTCTTCGCTTCATTACGGATACCAGGAGGAGAGACAGAGTTAAAATGGCAGATATACACGTACAACAAGATATTACTGCCATAAATGTACGCCTGGACACCCTGAAAAAGAAACAACTCTATACAATGCAAGAACTATACATGCCAGATAGAGAACATCCTATACAAGTGGTAAATACCACGGATTATATCATCAATACTCCTCACAGGACTCAAAGAATGACTCTCCCACAGAGGGTCCGTCGTTTTATCCATAAAGATGATTACCATCGACCCATGATATTGAGCAACCTCCTTGATGAAGAAGATTGGGTAACACCAGAACCCTTCTATGTATACTGAGAACATCATCGCCCCCAATTAGGGAGACATCTTATATAACAATCTAATGTAAAAATTATGCTATTTACTATGGCTGGACACCACCTGTAAGAAGCCATTGTCACGTAATTCTATAAACTGGCCAGAAAATTATTGCGTTCATTGTCGCATAAATATCCGTTGTGCAATCGCAAAAAAACACAAACACACACACACACAAAAAAAATAGCAACTTGTATAATTACTACCAATTCAGAGTCATGTACTTATATATATCTGTTATATCTATGTGACTCTGATGGGTTAGTAGTATACCCCTTAAAGAACATCTTATCATTTCACATACACTTTTTAAATTACACCAAAGTGGTTGGGCCATTTACCTTTTATATCCTACCTCTCTCCCCCCTCCCACCCTTTTCCAATATTTCTATCCTTACCCATCCTTCTTCCTTACCCATCTTACCAAAGCTCTGGTCTGGACAATACAATACAATATTTTTCTTAACACATGCAATGAGAGTAACACTGCATGTACACGTATACAGTATAAAAATAATTAATTTTCACTGTAACTTGTTTAGCTATCAAAACCTTGGGCCCAGTCCCTTGACCCATTATGTACCTCTGTAATCTGACTACCACCCACAGGATGAACACGGGGGTGCATAATAAAGATATAAGCTTTAAGCCCAATGAACCAATCTTAAAGGTACATACGTACATCGAAATATTTATATACAAGTGTATATACCATGAGAATTCACTGTATTGCTATATTAGGGAAGTAATCTGGCTTCTTAGTAACAATCTGGATGACAACTACAAGTTAAATAAGTTTATTTAGGCACAGGTACACATAAGTACAATTATCATTCCTGGTGTAAATTATCTAGGATAACCCCAAAAAAGGATGGGTATGGGGTGCATAATAAAGATATTAAACTAACCCAAAAAGTCAAAGTGGCTTATTTCCACTGGGGTCCTAATCCCCCTCGTGCAGTCGAGAGGCTTTTAAACAAGCAAATTCAACTAACCTTGTCCTGAGAACCCCACCATCTCCATCGTCTTAACCTCCTGGGGGTTGGTGTGAGTGTTGCTGCAGCCATGGTGGGAGATGCTCTTGTGGTGGTGGCCCTGGGCACCTGCCTCCTCGCGTTCTGCTCTCCCAAGTTCTGTGCTCTTAAGTTATACTCTCTCATGATTCGTTCTCTTAGGTTCTGCTCTCTCATGTTCAGCTCCCTTGTGGCGTCTTGCTCTCTCGCGGCATTCTGCTCTCTCAAGTTCCGCTCTCTTGCAGCGTTCTGCTCTCTGGCAGCGTTCTGCTCTCCCAAGTTCTGCACTCTCAAGTTATGCTCTCTCATGATTCGCTCTCTTAGGTTCTGCTCTCTCAAGTTCTGCTCCCTTGCAGCGTTTTGCTCTCTCGGGGCATTCTGCTCTCTTAAGGTCTGTTCTCTTGCAGCGTTCTGCTCTCTTAAGTTCCGCTCTCTTGCAGCATTCTGCTCTCTTAAGTTCCGCTCTCTTGCAGCGCTTTGCTCGCTGGCAGCGTTCTGCTCTCTCAGGTTCCGTTCTCTGGCAGCGTTCTGCTCCCTGGCGATGTTCTGCGCTGCCGCGGCATAGTGCGCTAACACGTTCTGCACTCTCAAATCTCTCGGGGCATTCTGCTCTCTTAAGGTCTGTTCTCTTGCAGCGTTCTGCACTCTGGCAATGTTCTGCTCTCTTAAGTTCTGCTCTCTTGCAGCGTTCTGCTCTCTTAAGTTCCGCTCTCTTGCAGCGTTCTGCTCTCTTAAGTTCTGCTCTCTTGCAGCGTTCTGCTCTCTGGCTGCGTTCTGCTCTCTTGCAGCGTTCTGCTCTTTCAAGTTCCGCTCTCTTGCAACATTCTGCTCTCTTGCAGCATTCTGCTCTCTTGCAGCGTTCTGCTCTCTGATGGCGTTTTGCTCTCTCAGGTTCTGCTCTCTCAAATTGTGCTCTCTTGCAGCGTTCTGCTCTCTCAAGTTCCACTCTCTTGCAACATTTTGCTCTCTGGCAGCGTTCTGCTCTCTCAGGTTCCGCTCTCTGGCAGCGTTCTGCTCTCTTAAATTCTGCTCTCTTGCAGCGTTCTGCTCTCTCAAGTTCCGCTCTCTTGCAGCGCTTTGCTCTCTGGCAGCGTTCTGCTCTCTCAGGTTCTGCTCTCTCAAATTCTGCTCTCTTGCAGCGTTCTGCTCTCTCAAGTTCCGCTCTCTTGCAGCGCTTTGCTCGCTGGCAGCGTTCTGCTCTCTCAGGTTCCGTTCTCTGGCAGCGTTCTGCTCCCTGGCGATATTCTGCGCTGCCGCGGCATAGTGCGCTAACACGTTCTGCACTCTCAAATTATGTTCTCTCAAGATCTGCTCTCCTCTGTCCTGTTGTCTAAAGTTGGGCTCTAACACGTTCTGCCGTCTCAAGTTCTGCTCTCTTAAGTTCTGTTCTCTCAAGTTCTGCTCTCTCAAGATTTGCTCTCTCAGGTTCTTTTGTTCTTTCAGTTTCTGCTCTCTTAAGTTCTGCTCCCTCAAGAGCCGTTCTCTCAAGTTCTGCTCTCTTAAGTTGTGTTCTCTCAACATTTGCTCTCTCAAGTTCTGCTCTCTTAAGTTGTGTTCCCTCAAGATCCGCTCTCTCAAGTTCTGCTGCACCCTTGCGGCATCCGTCTGCGTTCTTGCGGCATTTGTCTGTGCTCTTGCGGCATTCGTCTGTGCTCTTGCGGCATTCGTCTGTGCTCTTGCGGCATTCGTCTGTGCTCTTGCGGCATTCGTCTGTGCTCTTGCGGCATTCGTCTGTGCTCTTGCGGCATTCTGCTCACTTGGGGAGTTGTTGTCCTGAAATCACACAGGTACACATATTAGCTGTTCCTGCACTCCTGATGTATACAATCAATCAATAAGACACATATGCAACAGTTAGGTATCTTTATTATGAAACGTTTCGCCTACACAGTAGGCTTCTTCAGTCAAGTACAGAAAAGTTGATAGAAGCTCCTATCAACTTTTCTGTACTTGACTGAAGAAGCCTACTGTGTAGGCGAAACGTTTCATAATAAAGATACCTAACTGTTGCATATGTGTCTTACCTAACAACCTGTCGGTATTTTATACCATTTTAATGTTCAATCAATCAATAAGTTTACTACATAAGGCGAGGGTTAAAGCCTAGTACTGTAAGGAACCTAGTACTGGAAGGAACCTAGTACTGGAAGGAACCTAGTACTGGAAGGAACCTAGTACTGGAAGGAACCTAGTACTAGAAGGAACCTAGTACTGGAGAACCTAGTACTGGAAGGAACCTAGTACTGGAAGGAACCTAGTACTGGAAGGAACCTAGTACTAGAAGGAACCTAGTACTGGAAGGAACCTAGTACTGGAAGGAACCTAGTACTGGAAGGAACCTAGTACTGGAAGGAACCTAGTACTAGAAGGAACCTAGTACTAGAAGGAACCTAGTACTAGAAGGAACCTAGTACTGGAAGGAACCTAGTACTGGAAGGAACCTAGTACTGGAAGGAACCTAGTACTAGAAGGAACCTAGTACTGGAAGGAACCTAGTACTGGAAGGAACCTAGTACTGGAAGGAACCTAGTACTGGAAAGAACCTAGTACTGGAAGGAACCTAGTACTAGAAGGAACCTAGTACTGGAAGGAACCTAGTACTGGAAGGAACATAATGCTGGTAGGAACCTAGTACTGGAAGGAACATAATGCTGGTAGGAACCTAGTACTGGAAGGAACCTAGTACTAGAAGGAACCTAGTACTGTAAGGAACCTAGTACTGGAAGGAACCTAGTACTGGAAGGAACCTAGTACTGGAAGGAACCTAGTACTAGAAGGAACCTAGCACTGGAAGGAACCTAGTACTGGAAGGAACCTAATACTGGAAGGAACCTAGTACTGGAAGGAACCTAGTACTGGAAGGAACCTAATACTGGAAGGAACCTAGTACTGGAAGGAACCTAGTACTGGAAGGAACATAATGCTGGTAGAATCCTAGTACTGGGAGGAACATAGTACTGGTAGGCACCTAGTACTGGGAGGAACCTAGTACTGGGAGGAACCTAGTACTGGGAGGAACATAGTACTGGGAGGAATCTAGTACTGGGAGGAACCTAGTACTGGGAGGAATCTACTACTGGTAGGAACCTAGTACTGGGAGGAACTAGAAACGAACGATATTAATAGCAGTTAAATTTTATTCACATTTTCAGTTAGCGGTGAATTTCGTAGAAGACATGAATCAGGGAAAAATATTTTTTTTATTCACGGAGACGTTAAACTAAAAAAAAAAAAAGAGACGCTAGGAGAAAATAATCGTGAAAATAACAATACGTTGATGGGATCAGAACCTAAACTAGCATAATGTTGATAGGTTCAAAACCTCATTGAGATCAATAAGGAACCAGTGAAAGATAAGACGATCAATAGCGTTAATGGTAATGAATGACACTGGATCATGGGATAAAGGGATAGCAAACAAGTTTAGAGGTGAAACCTTATGGATGACAGCTCCAGGACTGATTACTTCAAACGTTTTGTAAATCAAGCCGAATGTTGTCTTATACGGAGTTTCCATACTGCATTAAAGTGACGCATTTTCAAACGAGCCACGACGTAGCTGATCTTACAGAAAGATTTACATATGCAGAGAGGAGGCTAGTCAAGCCACTGTTAAAAGAAGAGGCTACAGGAAACTCTTATGCTCAAAGGAAGTAGCAACAATCTAAGGTAAAGTTTGTCCTAGACGGCTGTCAAAGTTCAAACCATTGCATTTCAAAATGGACAAGACATTTCTAATCACAAAATAGAGACCTGGAGTTTACCTGGAGAGGGTTTCGGGGGTTAACGCCCCCGCGGCCCGGTCTGAGACCAGGCCTCATGGTGGATCAGGGTCTGATCAACCAGGCTGTTACTGCTGGCCGTACGCAAGCTGACGTACGAACCACAGCTCGGTTGGTCAGGCACTGACTTTAGGTACCTGTCCAGTGCCTTCTTGAAGACAGTCAGGGATCTAATGGTAATCCCCCTTATGTATGCTGGGAGGCAATTGAACAGTCTTGGGCCCCGGACACTTATTGTGTTGTCTCAGTGTACTCGTGGCGCCCCTGCTTTTCATCGGGGAAGTTTTGCATCTCCTGCCGAGTCTTTTGCTTTCATAGGGAGTGATTTTCGTGTGCAGGTTTGGTACTAATCCCTTCAGGACCTTCCAAGTGTATATTATCATGTATCTCTCTCGCCTGTGTTCGAGGGAATACAGATCAAGGACCTTCAACCGTTCCCAGTAGTTTAGGTGCCTTATCGCACTTATGTGTGCCGTGAAAGTTCTTTGTACACTCTCCAGGTCTGCAATGTCGCCAGCCTTGAAGGGGGCCGTTAGTGTACAGCAGTATTCTATCCTAGAGAGCACAAGCGATTTGAAGAGAATCATCAGGGGCTTGGCGTCCCTAGTTTTGAAGGTTCTCATTATCCATCCAATCATTTTCCTAGCGGATGAGGTAGATACATTGATGTGTTCTTTGAAGGCGAGATCTGACATTATCACTCCCAGGTCCATCACATTACTTTTCCGCTCTATTGTATGGTTAGAATTTGTGGTATACCAAGATACATTTTTAATTTCTTCAAGTTTTCCATATCTGAGAAGTTGAAATTTCTCCGCGTTGAACTTCATATTGTCTGAGTGGCCCATTCGAAGATTTGGTTGATGTCCGCTTGGAGTCTCGCGGTGTCTTCGATGGAGGTCACTGCTATGGTGATCCGGGTGTCATCCGCAAAGGAAGACACGGAGCAATGGCTTACATCTCTGTCTATGTCAGAAATGAGGATGAGGAATAGAATGGGAGCGAGTACTGTGCCTTGTGGAACAGAACCTTGTGGAATACAAGCTGCTAGTTTGTTTCCTCCTAGGTTACTACTGAGACCTAGCACAAACTACTAGTTTGTTCCCTCCTAGGCTACTACTGAAACCTAGCACAAGCTACGAGCTTTGTTCTCTCCTAGGCTACTAGTGACTGTGGCTCAGTGAAAAAAAATGTATGTAAATAAAGGTACAGAATCAGACGTGCATCTGTCAAACACATTTATAAACGTACTATAATAAACATAATTTAAGAGGTTAATTTGACAATAAATGACATATTTCAGAGGTTGAATATGGATTGAGTGGATTTCTTGTTTGCCAGCCCTTCATGGGGTGGGTGACTAGACGCTGACGAATAGATTTTAATCCAGGGAATTGGAGCTACCTTCCCTCTTCGGATCAAACCTGATTACCTCCCATTCCCCAGATGCTGGATGGCTTTACCCTGCAGATTTAGCGCTTCCCAGTGACAATAAATAAATCTAACCTCCCAAACGATGTGAAAGCGAACTCCGCCTTGATCAATGTACACTGGAGAACGAGCTGCTGAAGACGAGGCGAGGCGCATCTCCAGTGGTGAAGGAAGAGCCTGCAGGTGGGCGCCCAGCACCATCAAGCACGCCCACGCCCACGCCCATCCATACATCTGAAATATATTGTATAACTGTGGCATGCTAAGAGTAAGTTACATTTTATTCGGCGTATCTCACACACTCATATAGGGATGCCCTCCCGACCAGCGGACCGGAGGCTAAGGGTATAATGAGTGGGGCCCCCTCATTATACTAGCACCTTGCTTCAACCAGCCAATCACAAGGAAGCCCGCCAAAGTTGTGAAGCGATGTTGGACATTCGTGAATTAACCCTGGCAGATTTACCTCCAAGTCTGGTCGAAGACGGTTCTCACCGTCTCTTGTTTGCATAATTGCCTTTCTGTACACATCCTCTGTAAATATTGTACGTATTATTGCTTGTTGTTTGGTGAAAGAAATATACAAGTATTTACTCTCCGCTGCCTTTTGCTCGTTCATCGTTTCTATCATGGTTATCGTGCTATAACCAGGTGTGCAGGCTACAAGACTACACCTGTGTTCGTAATAATAACTGTGGTAAAAAAGAAACGGCCTGAGCTTACCATCTGCAGCTCATAAGACTGCCATCCCCACGAGCCCCTTTGAGGCGGGGCAGATGGCAGACCAGAGGCCTAGCTTCTCCCTACGAGCCCCGTGAGGGAGGGGACTGTGGCTAGGCCTGGGGACACTTGGTCCCAAAGATGAGGGGGGTACTTGTACCTCCTCCCATGGGAGACTTAAGTCTCGAGACACTCCCCAGATAGGGAGCCAAGGCCGGGTCACCACTACTTGGAAAAGACCCGGGCCGGGAGAATACCGGCGAATAATAATAAAAAAAAATAACTGTGACATTATAATATCGCAATTAGTGTCCGATATAAGGAAAAGCACTGGGTTGATTTGAGAGAAAGGACAGGCATAAATGAGGGAAGAATAAAGCTAAAAGGAGAGAGAGAGAGAGAGAGAGAGAGAGAGAGAGAGAGAGAGAGAGAGAGAGAGGAGAGAGAGGAGAGAGAGAGAGAGAGAGAGAGAAATAAATAACACGGAAAAATTAAAAGCAGGATAAATGAGAGACGATAACTAAGAAAAATAATAAGTAAGAGAAGAGTAAAAAGTGTGCTAGTGAGGAGTTACACAGAGGAAGAGTGGCACCCAGGCACTCGCCACTCATTGATTTTATTATCAATGTCATGGCTCTTCAGTGCCTCTTTAATTATATAAAAGAATATAAATACATTTACAAATGAATAAATACTAATTATTATTATTATTATTATTATTATTATTATTATTATTATTGCTTGCAGTGGTTGGACCGTAAGTGTAAATATATTGCATTAGTTATTACCATTACAAATATTTATTGAATAAACGAAAATAAGAATACAAATGAGCGCTGCAGTAGGCCTACTGGCCCATGCTAGGCAGGCTCAAACATTTACTCATATATTTATCAAACCCATAGTTACAGCTGGCCAAAATTCTCACCTCAATGATGCTCTCTGAGAGTTTGTTCCCCTCATCTGCAACTATTGCTAAATCATTAATTTCCTAAATCCTTTCTATATCTATATTTGCGAATAATGTCTTGGTAAGATATTTTTTAGCACGTTATTTATATCCCCTTTATTTATTCCTGATGTTTCATTGTAATATTCACTCATATCTCTCCAAATTGTGCGCCTTTCCACAGTAAGTTGTGTCTTCATCACATCTTTATAGGTAAGATTTCTGATTTCTGATTTATCCTTCTCTGTAGATTTTCCGGCGCATTAATGTTCATCATGTAATATGCAGATCAGATACGAAACCAAAAATTATTTGAGTATTGTGAACACTTATACACTGTTACCGTAGCTTTAAATTTTTGTTAACTAGAACTCCAAAACCTTTATCGTAGTAATTTCGACTGTGATATATATTGCTTAGTTTACAAGCACCATAGTTATTTTTCTTTAATAGGATTAGCCAGGTATGTGAACGTGCTTATTTTGGTGATGCTGCAGCGGAGCGGGGTTCAGTTGTTACGTGGTTCCAGGACACTTCTTTTAACTGCGGTATCTGGGGTGCCCATGCCGTGTGTGAAGTCCCCATGACCCGGGAGGGCCATGGCCGCGAGGAGAGAGGAATAGGCTTGTTGTCTGCTTCTAGGCCGCTGAGTGAGTCAGATGCAGGGGTGGGCATACTGAAGTGGTAAGCCTATAGGTGGCAGCACCAGCATGGCACGAAATATGAACTTAGCTGGTAGCCAGCATAGACTGTCTGTGCAAACAGTACAGGCTGTCTACATTCGCTCGGTCACCTACCACATGGTCGTCCCGACCATGTCTGGCTGTAAAAAAAACTCGGTCTCTCTCTCGTAGGAACAGGGCACAGAACACAAAATAAAAACACGTTACGTTTTTTCGCTCTCCGAAAAAAAACAATAAAATAAAAAAAAACACCAATGTGAAACAAAATTATTTGGTGATGCTGCAGCGGAGCGAGGTTCAATTATAGACGTCTTCGGAGGCTTCTTTACTTTATTTGCAAAGTCGTGGTGGGTACACAGGCTTGTGTGTTAAGTGCCCATGGTCGGGAGGGCCATGCCCACCAGGGAGAGAGGGAGTAGAGTTGTGATGAATGGTTTGAAAAACCGACAAGTTGAAGATTGAGACACTTATGCAGCATATGGGAATCTTTATTCAGGAAACGTTTCGCCACACAGTGGCTTCATCAGTCCAATACAAAGAGGAAGGCGTAAGGAGAGGAGTATGAGGTAATCAGTCCCTCAGCCTGGAGTCGATGTGTTCAGTCCATCAGTCCATCTACAAGACTGATGGACTGAACACATCGACTCCAGGCTGAGGGACTGATTACCTCATACTCCTCCTCTCCTTACGCCTTCCTCTTTGTATTGGACTGATGAAGCCACTGTGTGGCGAAACGTTTCCTGAATAAAGATTCCCATATGCTGCATAAGTGTCTCAGGGAGTAGAGTTGTTGACTGCTTCTAGGCCGCTGAGTGAGTGAGCGAGTGCGAGTGGGACCAGCGTCCCACTGACCTGGGTAGGCCTGGAGAGGGCAGCACCTTAGTGCCGCGAAATATGAATTAAGCTGGCAGACAGCATAGGCTGTGCAGACAGTACAGGCTGTCTACAGGTAAACTCCAGGTTAGAACCCGATATATGTTTGCATTACAATACATCTGCCATGTCTCCGACCATAACATCAACATGTGTAATTAACATTTAAAATTAGCGGTAATGTTTAATGGATACAGACAGTGAGAGTTGTGAGTCTCTCGGTGTCTGGGTCGGGAAATATGGTGCGTCATTAACTCAATTTCCGACTCCTTTCCATTTTTTTCCTCGGCCGCCTCGCCGCGGTGCCCCTTAATACTTTCAACAAGCTGTCTCGTCTGCCACGACTTTTTCGTTTTTGTTGACATTAAATAGATACTGAATATATGACCCACAATGTTGTTGTCATCAACAGGATTCCTGATAATACAGCAACAACAACTACTATTATAATGTTTATATAAATGTGCATGTTTGTTGAGGCATGACTGTATACATAGATGTATACTTGTGAATATTTGATGACGAGTCCACGTGTGCATGATGTGTCCATGTATGCATGGAAGAGTCTGTGTACATAGAAGCGTCCATGTGTGCATGAACGTATTCATGTGTGCATGAACGTCGTTCATGTGTGCATGATAAGTGTTCATGTGTGCATGAACTGTTGTTACATGTTGCTAACTTCCATGTGTGTACCAATCCTGATGATAAGCATACTTTATGCTCTTATACCAACTTTCCTTGGTTTGTAATATGTACTTAATATGTGATCCCTGTAATGTCCTGTATTGATAAGTCGACTCTACTTTAATGCGTCCTTTCCATGTGTCATGCTGTCATTAATGATCTGTCTCTTATATCATGTGTCTCTTAATGTTCTGTCTCTTAACTGTCTATTCCTGTCTCTTAATGTCTGTCCTTAATGTTTCTGTCTCTTAGTGATCCTGTCTCTTAATATCTGTCTCTTAATGTTCTGTCTCTTAATGTTTCTGTCTCTTAATGTCTCTCTTAATTGCCTTCTGTCTCTTAATGTTCTGTCTCTTAATGTCTCTGTCTCTAATATTCTGTCTCTTAATGTTTTCTGTCTCTTAATATGTTCTCTTATTCTGTCTTAATGTTTCTGTCTCTTAATGTCTCTGTCTCTTAATTCTCTGTCTCTTAATATCTCTGTCTCTTAATATCTGTCTCTTAATGTTTCTGTCTCTTAATTCTCTGTCTCTTAATGTTTCTGTCTCTTAATATCTGTCTCTTAATATCTGTCTCTTAATGTTTCTGTCTCTTAATATCTCTGTCTCTTAATGTTTCTGTCTCTTAATGTTTCTGTCTCTTAATATCTGTCTCTTAATGTTTCTGTCTCTTAATGTCTCTGTCTCTTAATGTTTCTGTCTCTTAATGTTCTGTCTCTTAATCTGTCCTTAATGTCTGCTTAATGTCTCTGTCTCTTAATGTCTCTGTCTCTTAATTCTGTCTCTTAATGTCTATGTCTCTTAATGTTCTGTCTCTTAATGTCTCTGTCTCTTAATGTCTGCTTAATGCTTGCTCTTAATGTCTGTCTCTTAATGTTCGTCTCTAATGCTGTCTCTTAATGTCTCTGTCTCTTAATGTCTCTGTCTCTTAATGTCTTGTCTCTTAATGTCTGTCTCTTATGTCTCTGTCTCTTAATGTCCTGTCTCTTAATGTCTGTCTCTTAATGTCTGTCTTTAATGTCTCTGTCTCTTAATGTCTGTCTCTTAATGTCTGTCTCTTAATGTCTCTGCTTCTTAATGTTTCTGTTTCTTAATGTCTGTCTCTTAATGTCTCTGTCTCTTAATGTCTCTGTCTCTTAATGTCTGTCTCTTAATGTCTGTCTCTTAATGTCTCTGTCTCTTAATGTCTCTGTCTCTTAATGTCTGTCTCTTAATGTCTGTCTCTTAATGTCTCTGCTTCTTAATGTTTCTGTTTCTTAATGTCTGTCTCTTAATGTCTTGTCTCTTAATGTCTCTGTCTCTTAATGTCTGTCTCTTAATGTCTGTCTCTTAATGTCTCTGTCTCTTAATGTCTCTGTCTCTTAATGTCTCTGTCTCTTAGTGTCTCTGTCTCTCAATGTCTCTGTCTCTTAATGTCTGTCTCTTAATGTCTCTGTCTCTTAATGTCTCTGTCTCTTAATGTCTGTCTCTTAATGTCTCTGTCTCTTAATGTCTCTGTCTCTTAATGTCTGTCTCTTAATGTCTGTCTCTTAATGTCTCTGTCTCTTAAAGTCTCTGTCTCTAATATCTGTGTCTCCTAATATCTGTCTCTTAGTGTCCTCCTGTTTCCTAGTGTCCACTGTCTCCGTATCTCCCAGTGTCTCCTAATATCCGTGTTTCCTTATGTCTCTGTCTCCTAGTGTCCTCATGTCTCCTAGTACCCCATGTATCCGTGTCTCCTAGTACCCCATGTATCCGTGTCTCCTAGTACCCCATGTATCCGTGTCTCCTAGCACCCCATGTATCTGTCTCCTAGTACCCCATGTATCCGTTTCTCCTAGTACCCCATGTATCCGTGTCTTCTAGTACCCCATGTATCCGTGCCTCCTAGTACCCCATGTATCCGTGTCTTTTAGTGCCCCATGTATCCGTGTCCCCTTAGTACCCCATATATCCGTGACTCCTAGTACCCATGTACCCGTGTCTCCTAGTGACCCATGTATCCCTGTCCCCTAGTACCCCATATATCCGTCTCCTAGTACCTCATGTATCCCTATCTCCTAGTACCCCATATATCCGTGTCTCCTAGTGTCCCCGTTACTCCTAGTGTCCCCGTGTCTCCAAATATCTCCACATCTCTTGAGACTTCTTGTCTCTTTCTGTCTTAATCTCTGTCTCCTAATACCCTTCAACTGTGTCATGCAGTTACGTGCATGACTTTGTTTCTCTTGTGCATAAACTCATTTACCTTGTATTTATTTTGACGATGAGAAGCAAATAGAATTAGGTAGCGTGACTGGTGATTAGAGGACGGAGAATCGAGCCTCCACTACTGAATGACCCATGCGAGTTAAGCGCTTCACACAGAATAAAATATTGTTATGGTCAAGAGTTTTGCTGCTGCTGCTGACAGTACTTGGGCAGCAGCTACTCTTACGGCAGTTATAGCTGTAATGGCCATATACGTTAGTGTTTCGACAGTAGAAATTAATTTTGGCCACAGAAGTGACTAGTATTACTGCCGCCACAGGGTGCTACTGCTGGTACTGCAGCCTAATATGCCACTGGTTACGGTCACGGGTGTCACTGTGTTGCGGTCACAGAAGATACTGATGCGTCCACAGGAGTTTCTGGTACTGTGGCTATAAATGCTACTGGTGGTCCTCCAACATGTGCTACTGATATTCCTCTCACACGTGCTACTGATGATGCAGCCACACCTGTCACTGGTGTTGCAGATACAGGAGCAGCTGGTGTTGCAAATACAAGTGTCACTGGAACTGCGGCCACGGGAGATAGATAACCTTGTTGATGGAGAAGAGAGGTGTAGGTGTAAGACGAGAAGGGAGGTAGTCTGCTTCCTGTGTGAAGTATAACTACACTGACTCCTCCTGGGTTCCCTCGTTCTGCATCACACTGTCACTGTTAGGCGGGTTGTTATTCTTACTGCCACTGACTGTTACGTTGTTTTGATGTATAACTTGGTTATAATGTTGTGTTTTACCTTCCTTCTTTTTTCTTCTTCCTGCTCCTCCCCTTCATCCTTCACTTACTTTTCCTTCTCCATCACCTCTTCATAATAGGAAGGCCACTTCAAGGCTCTTCTTTCCTTTAAATCAGTCTATTTTTTTTTTAATTTAAGTCTTTAATTATGATGGTTTTTATGTTTCCATGAATACTTTTGATTAATAGTTTTTAAACAAATTAAACAGTCCTAATATGTTTACAATTACACATTTGTTAGTTTAATATTATTATGGGCCCCACAACCATCCCGAGGGCGGTGTCAAAGGTGCATAATGGTCCAGGCACTGGGCCCCCAAATTAGTATTTGCTAAGCAGGTTACAGTGATAACGAACTATTTGCAAATCTATTGACTCTAGAACAATAACGAGTTTACTGAGTTCACATCAGTTCAGGAGTTATTTAACATAGGCAAAGTCAATATAATTTTCAAGAACGGCTGATAATGTACCACAGTAAATAAAATATATTAACATTTCTTGAACTTTTGTGAGTTGTCTCTGAATTATTTCTATCGGATTGCAGTACATAATGAAGCAGCAGTGTGTGACAGTGGTTCCTCTGGCTAAGTTTTTACGTGGTTAGGTCTACATCAGATGGAGATGCAAACTCGCAGAGGTACTAGTAACTCAGCCGTGGCCAGGCAGAAATGACATTCAAGACTCTGCTAATTTTAATGAATGCAACATAGACATGTGACTCCTGCACGATGGAATGACTGATGGACTAATTAGCGTCACTCTCCCTCTGTCATAAATTAATGAAGTTCAGTTGAAGCTCCTTTAGATTGTTGATAACCCAAAGTTGTAATCTACTTTCTCCTTGAATGCATACTTCTTTGTCAATTCATAGGTTCTGTCACGAATTTAAAGGTCACTGTGAGATGGAATACACTAAAGGTTTACTCTTACTCCACTCTATAATTCTACAATACCTGTGTCTGGGTTCTGACATAAACATGTCACAACTGACGCTGAGATAAAAGCATAGAACTAAGACCATTTATGGATAAGAGCATTTGAGGGTAACTTATGAGGTTTCAAAGCAAGTATCTTCTTTAACTTAGGGAAGAGGATCAACTCCAGGTCCTGATACGAATCTAGTGTAAGTTTATTCAGATATATACAAATATAGTTACATAGATTATCATACATATCAGCATGTGTAGAGAACCTGGGATAACCCAAAAAAAAGTCAGTGACTTATTTCCATTGGGCGTAATGAAGGACCTGGGAAATATTGAGTTTAGGGGCTCCATCGAGTTTCGTGAAAAATTATAATGAAAATTGCGTAATATGATTGGTGTGTCCAACAGAGATCATTATATTTTGTGTAAATTGGAAAAAAAACAATGATTATCGGTATTTTTTTCTTCAGACGAAATATTTAAAAACACCCTTATCTAACTACTGCAACCAATCTAATCTAACCCAGTCCAACAATACCCAGATCAGCAATACCCAGCCCAGACATACGTACCTAGTTCAGCTATCAAAACTTTGGGGGCCCAGTCCCTGGACCCATTACGTACCTCTGTAATCTGTAAATACCTTTGTAACTTGTCATGATTGTGACCAGACTTACCTGGAGTTCATTACCTTTGTAAATTGTGAGTTCATTACCTTTGTAAATTGTGAGTTCATTACCTTTGTAAATTGTGAGTTCATTACCTCTGTAACTTGTTCAGCTATCAAAACTTTGGAGTCCAGTCCCTGGACCAATTATGTACCTCTGTAATCTTTTGACTACCGCCCACAGGATGGGTATGGGGTGCATAATAAACATATTAAACTAAAAAACTAACCAGACATACCCATGCTAACAAAATGTACACTCAGGAGATATTGGTCTGGTGCTGGTATTATTGGAACTTTACATCACTGGGTCGGCGAGTCACCACCACTGATTGGCCCGGCGTATAATTTACAAGATACATTTTATTTTCTATAAAAACAATTTTGTTGCTAATATCTCCCTTCAAAACAAAATTGCTCAAGAAATATAGTAGCCATTTTTTGCTGGGCTATGTATAACTTGCTTGTGTTATAGAAATTAAAACAAAGGATTAGTTTAATAATAATAATAATAATAATAATAATAATAATAATAATAATAATAATAATAATAATTATATACTACAAGTACATGTACATGGTATACAGGCCTAGCCTTGGGAATGAAAAAGTATTTCCTAACTTTTTGATGTGGCTTTACCTTTCATCTATGTCCTCTTGTTTCTGGTCCTCGCATTTCAAACAGTCAGTCCCTATGAGTCCTGTTAATTAATTTAGTATCATGTCCTCTTCTTTTTTCTCTCAGTGCACACCTTTCAGCTCTGAAGTAGTCTGGCTGCAAATGTCAGGGCCTTTTCAAACTTCTGAACGCTGTTTTCTATTTAGAGAGGGTTCAACGCTGGTGCTGCGTATTCGATCATGGTCCTTACTGACGTTATGTACTCTTGAAATTATGTTTGTACAAGGATGGGTGTGTGTCCCTAACCATTCATGATACTTGAACAGGACGTGAGATTTGGTGTAAAAGAGAGGGGGAGGAGGGAGAAAGAAAGAGGGGGAAGGAGAGAAAGGGGGAAGGGAGAGAGACAAAGGAACACTCATCGTTATCATTATGAGGGAGGTGACCACAGGTGCCGCCTCATTCCCTCATCAACAACTGACAGGTAAGTTACTCTCACACCTGTGTCTCCACCTGTCTCAGTGACAATGACCATCTTGCGTTAATGACTTCCTTTTGTGTCCTTCTTATTCCATATATCTTATGTTACTAAGATTCTCTCCGTGTGTCTTGTCTTTGGTGTCTTGTTTCATAGTCGGTCATTTCCTATGGTTAAGGTAGACTCCCTAGTTTGGTTCTGCTACTGAAATTTTATCTTATTTTTTTTCGTAAGGGTATTCCTTGCATTGTCTGATCTTTATTTTTGTTTTGTTCCTGCTTTGTCAGTCCTGTTAATTAACACTGTGATTCCATCCTAATTCCTGTTACTTGCAGAGAAATGTTTATCGTTAGTCATGTTCTTGTTCTTAACCCTTCTTGCAGTTGTCTTTGTTATTTTGTTTTCTTTCATCCATTATTACCTGAATTTTATTTTTTTGTTTATCTTTTATGTTTATGTCTTAACTTCTCAGTTTCAGATACTTTGTGTTTTCTTATCCACTGTCATTGCAAGTGATGTTTTTTTTTTTTTTTATTTAGAAATTTTAGCATACAAAAGGGTACAAAAAATACAGGTAAGAGCAGCATGCCAAAGCCACTTATTTCCATAATGGAACTATTTAGGTTTATTGTAGATTTTGGTTATGATGATGTTTGGGTACACACGAAAATCACTCCCTGTGAAAGCTAAAGACTCGGCCGGAGATGCAATATTTCCCCGATGAAAAGCAGGGACGCCACGAGTACACTGACAACAATAAGTGTCCGGGGACCAAGACTGTTCAATTGCCTCCCAGCATATATAAGGGGGGATTGCCAATAGACCCCTGGTTGTCTTCAAGAAGGCACTGGGCAGTTACCTAAAGTCAGTACGTGACCAGCCGGGCTGTGGTTCGTCACGTCGGGTTACGTGCGGCCAGCAGTAACAGTCTGGTTGATCAGACCCTGATCCACCATGAGGCCTGGTCTCAGACCGGGCCGTGGGGGCGTTGAACCGTAAAACCCTCTCCAGGTAAACTCCACGATTTCTTAAGCTTGTTGTGGTTCTTGGTTATGATGTCCCTTGGCTGTAAACTAAGACTCCTTAAGTTTGCTGAAGGTTCCTTAGCTTCCTTGCCGATCCATTGCCTTTGAGTTTCATTCCCCTCAAGGAAGGTTCCTTGATGTTGGTGAGGGCTCTTGATTAGGATTAGGATCTGTGCTCCAGTTCCAGAATTTAACCTGAATGCGTTCCAACACTCCCCCCAGGCGCTTGTTAATCCTCGGGTTTTGCGCTTCCCCTTTGATTATAATATAATATTGAGTTTCATTACTGACGGTAAATCACTGTCAGATTTATTAAAGGGTGGACCGGTAATGCCAGCATAAGGTTTCCGGTCAGATAGCAAATAGCTTAGTGACGGATCATCATATGACTAAGACCCGCGTCAGGAAACCATTTATTTTTGTTTCTGCAAGCCTTACTTAACCTTCGACGAATTTCCTCATTACAGTGACTCCAGTTCTGTTGGAGCCTATAATGGAATGCTGACGAGATCTCGTATCTCCTAGGTAAAATCGCCCACTCAAGCTGACATTATTACATCAATGATTGTAGCTCACCCATGAATGGAATGTACATGAAACAGGTTTTGTCCCGCAGAGTAACTATGCTACAAATGAGTAAACTAACACAGAATGCTAGTAATTTAAATAAAAATGTCCCAGCCCCTACTCAAAATCCAAGATGTTCATTTATTATTTTTATTCGTCTAACGCAGGTCGCCGACAGAATGGGTCGCTGCAGTTTAGTCTACCTCCGCAGTGCGTCAGGCATTCTCAAGATAATTGAAGTTGTGAGTTCCAGGAATTCAAATTCAAAATTGTATTTTTTTACGTAGTATACAATGTATAGTGTACATGTAACAAAATATTGTTAAGCACAAAGAAAGTCACTAATATGCATGAGTATCTGGGCAGACTAATCTAATGCTTACACACTACTTAAAACTAGACACAGGTTATGGAGTAGTAAATTTTAATTATATATATAATCGTGATTATGCTTTCTAACTTAATATTAATTTGATACATTTATTATACATCCCATATCCATTCTGTGGGTAATAGTCAAAATGCTTTAGGGGCACATAATTGATCAAGAGACTGGGCTAAATTGTCCCCACACCCCAGGCGTTTACCATATTGCGACAGAAAGTCACTCATGACAAACCTCCCGATTCCGATCAAAGATTTTCCAGATGCCATTGAGCTTTGTATTAATTTTAATTTCTCTTCTGAGAAAGATTTATACCAGCAGTCTTATGGGATGACCATGGGCTCACCACCTAGTACAGTTGTTGCCAGCCCTTGTATGGAGTACCTAGAGGAGAAAATGAAACCACATAAACCAGCTGGTGTAACATAATTAACATATGTTGACAGTTTCTCATATTGATGGCATACAATACCGACAAGTTTATGAATAAGAAACATATGCAACACTTTATTGTCGAAACGTTTCGCTTGCACAATTAACTTCTCCAGTCGAATGCAGGAGAATACAGCACTGGAGTCAGTGGAAGTAGTTTTGGTGATTGGTCTGTCACCCTCGATAGGAGGGAGTCAGTCCCTCAGGCTTTAGTAACTGACCACATCTTACCGAAGGCGACGGATTGCTCGCTTTTAAATACATTTTCTGTCTCCGTTGTTTTCGACTGAAGAAGCCGGTTGTACAAGCGAGACATATAGACAATAAAGATACCAAAGTGTTGCATATGTGCCTTATTCATCATGGTGTCATTGGGTGATCGCCCCTAGAAGTGCCAATACAACATGGCTGTTAAATAGTTTCACCGAGGAGGAGCATAATGGTGGCCTGCTTTTTCTGGACGTGTTTCTGTTTCAATATGACAATGCACTCGAGTTTCAAGCCATAGGAAATCAACTAACAAGTATGACCTACACGTCTCATATCACAACGTACACACTAACAGAGGCATCACCATTTCCTTCTTATTTAGAAGGCTCTCGGGATCTCCAGTCCGTCGTATTTAGCGGAGGAATGCAGGTATACACAGTGCTTTCTCCGAGCTTCATTAACCGACCCCTTTAATTCCCGGTTGACGGAGAAAAGCAAAATAAAAGATCAACACAGCTAGACAACAACAAGAGGTTCATCATTGAAACTGCGAAGGAAACTTCCGAGAACACACACAACTGTATTGTTAAAATTTAATTGGTATAAAACCTTTATAAAGCACCCTATACCCATCCTGAGGGTGATAGTCAAAAGATTACAGAGGCACATAATGGATTCGTGGACTGGACCTCTAAAATTCTGATGAGGAACCAAAACAGCAAACTTTGTCTTCCAGCACTACTGAGGATCTAGTAGCTGGGATAAGTAAGCGACACTATGAAACCAACGCCGGGGTATACAACATACCCTGTGAGACATCTGACAAAATACATGCTGAGGAAATTTTCGGAATTTTTATACTACGTTTCAATGAACGCCGTTACTTATATCATAAGGATAAACTGAACAACGCTTATGTTATCCATCGGAATACTCGTAGACACAACAATGAGAATAAGTCACTCTGACTTTTTGGGTTATCCTAGGTACTTTACACATATGCTGCTATGTATGATAATTCTATGTAACTGTATTTGTGTATACCTGAATAAACTTACTTACATAAACTCGAGTAGCATCAGACTAGTTATCAGAGATGCTTTCCGACGTTGAAAATGATGTTTATAATCATCACTCATCTGTACTCCCAACACCACAACTCAAAATATAGAGTTGCATCATGTCCAGGCAGGACACGGCCACTTGGCTCCACCCTTCCTTTCAATAGCACATCTCTGCCAATATGAATAGTACCTGTCTCTTATTCTTGTATTAGACAGGAAACGCCCCTGGCGGGCGAAAGGCCCTCTTATTAAATGTCTTAATAAACTTTCAGACGTATCTAATTATTAAGAAAATGTGAAAAAACACACATAAGGCATTGTATGAGAGGCAATGTGTTAAGTCAGTACCAGCGAAGGAGGTTGCTAACTATGGCTCGCCTTTATAGACTTCATCGCTAGTATACATAAAAACAGTGAATGATACCATGCCTTGTATACATAAAGAGGTGGATATTCAGAATTATCAGAGGAATATAGCTAAAAAAAATACGTGTACTAGTTATCAGTTAGCTTTGCCCTTTATTCATAGGTGCCTGTCAACAGCACATTGATGAATAAAACGGAAGTGCAACACAGGGTATCTTTATTCTGAAGACTCCTCACCAACCCATGACTTCGTCAATTCAATACAAAAGTTATGGGAGGTGTTGAAACTGGAGACAGTAAAACATGAGGTAATCAGTCCCTCAGCCTATATGAAGGTATGGTATGGTATGAGGTATGGTATAAACCTTGGTAACAGTTACCCACAAATTGGTTTAGAAACACACGTGAGCAAACACTACAACATATTTATTAGAAAACTTTTCGGTCCCAGGACCTTCATCAAGGTCCCATGACCGAAACGTTTTTTAATAAATATACCCCAGTGTTGGCTCACGTGTCTTGTTAAACCATTTTGTCGGTATCTATTACCAAGGTTTATATCCCAGTGTTAGCTCGCGTGTCTTTCTAAACCAATCTAAAGTATAACCAGGAGTCAGATAAGGTGCAACAATTGAAGACATCGTCACCGTGTCAGAGAGGATACCTATTTACTAACCCCTGACCCAACTCTTGGGCATGACCTACTTCCACTAGTGGGTCCGCCCACAGTAATGATGTCTTCAACTGCTGCACCTCATCTGACTCTTACATAAGCAACCATCTTCCTGGCTATACTTCACACTCCATCAAGACTACGGTGAACACCTTCAGCTAGACTGAGGGACTGATTACCTCGTCTTCTACTGTCTCCAGTTTAAACACCTCCAATAGCTTTTGTATTGAACTGGTGAAGTCTTTGGCTGGTAAAATGCTTTCAGAATAAAGATACCCAGGTATTGTACATGCATGTTATTAATCGACCTGTTGGTATTGTATGTCATCACTGCTACCAGTATGTTGATTAAAGAAATGAGATTTTACAGGTTTAATTCCAAATTTGCAATTGTTTTCCCGAACTCTCAAATTCCGTTCATTAATCGCAACGGAGAAAGATTCTAATATATTTAGAACTTCAGATATCTGATTTTTGTGACAATGCATCATATTTTTATTACTGTAAGCATCTAAAGTTTAGATGTCTGAATGTCACCGTTTTTTATGACTGGGCATGTAATTTTTTGGCCTATAGGCATCTGATTGAGTAATGCAGACATTTTTTTTTCAATCTCTCAGCAGAATTTTCAACAACGTAAATATTTGATTTTAAGGACTAGTGTTTTTCTACAAATGTGTTTCTCTTCTCGTTGCGACATTAATACGTTGACAACAGTATCTAAAACAATGGTAATACTGTATGATAACAGCATTGTGATGAAGTCCCATGACTTAATGCTGATAAATATGTGCTCTCGGCTATACTCATCTAGTTGTGGTTGCAGAGGTCAGTTCACAGCTCCTGACCCCGCCTCTTCGCTGGTCGTTACTAAGTCCACTCTCTCCCTGCTCCATGAGCTGTATCGTATCTCATCTTAAAGCTATGTCTATGTATGGATCCTGCCTCCACTACATTACTCTCCAGATTGTTTCACTTCCTGACAGATCTATGACTGAAGAAATACTTCCTAACATCCCTCTGATTCATCTGAGTTTTCAACTTCCAGTTGTGACCCCTTGTTGCTGTGTCCCATCTCTGAAACATTCTGTCCCTATTCACCTTGTCCGTTCCTCTCAGTATTTTATATGTCAGTATCATGTCCCCTCTATCCCTCCTGCTCTCCAGTGTCGTCAGGTTGATTTCCCTTAACCTCTCTTCGTAGAACATACACCTTAACTCCGGGACTAGTTGCAACCTTTGCATTTTATCTAAATTTCTTGAAGTGCTTAACCAGGTGTGGGTTCTGTACTGGTGCTGCAGATTTTTGTTAGTGGCACATACAGTGTCTCTACTCCCTCTCTCAGGACCCAAGGAGAGATACTGTACGGTCCCACCGACTTTGAGGTATTTAACTCACTTAGCAGCCTCTTCACATCCTCCTTAGTTGTGTGTAGTGTGCCCAGCATTTGTTACTGAAACCTTACATTCTGGTTTCCTGGAGTCCTTTCTGTCTCCACTGAAAATACTTCCTTTAATCTCCTCTTAAGCTCTCCACATACTTCTTTGTCGTTTCTTGTGATCTCCCCTCCCTCCCTCCCTCCCTCCTCATCCTGATTACCTGGTCATTGTTCTTTTCCTCCTGATGTGGCTGTACAATAGCTTTGGGTCAGATTTGGTTTTCGATGCTATGACATTCTCATATTGCCGCTGGGCCTCCCTCCTTATCCATGCATATTCATTTCTGGCTCTTCGGCTAATCTCCTTATTTTCTTGGGTCCTTTGTCTTCTGTATTTTTTCTATTCTCTAGCACACTTAGTTTTGGCCTCATAGTTGCAGCTGACTACAGTATTTTCTCATACACTAAAATTTGATGAACATTTGAGATGCTACAAAATGTTTAAATATTATTATAGTTACTCAGAATTTCGCACATTTATAGATATTGACTATATTATGTGCTTAACTAATTGCGAATTCCCTGCTGGTGCTGCTTACTCGAGAATCTTCTTTAATGCTTGACTGTCTAGGTTCATGAAGGTTCTTACATGTGTCACTGGCATTATCCGGTTTGTGTGCTTCAAACGAGAGGTAAGGTGTGACGTTCCCATGGGGGTCCTTGTTTTTTGGTCCACACAGAATAGTTTCCCTATCACGTAATGTACTGTCATTGATTCTCATATCCTAGCTAGAATTTTCAGTATTTTGCAATTCGGAGGGAATGGAGTTAAATTCTTGTAACTACTTATTTAATTTTTCAAGCAGTTTTCTAAATCCTGAAGCTGCTTGTCATCTTCACTTTTAACCATTTCATCAGTTGTTCACCGTCCCTCAACATATTTGTCTTCCATACATCACCAACACTTCCCCATCACCACTAACCTCCCTCATCCTAGGTGAGCGTGAGTGTGTCTCTGGGGCTGTTCCGTGGAGTTCCTCTCACCTTCGGGGACAGCCGCCACACCTCAGTACATGTTGGAACCGACGCAGACTTCTTCAGCGGCGGGGTCATGGTGGCCGCCCTGCTTATCACACCTCTCTTGTTCCTCCTGTATGTTGCCGGGGTTGCTGGTCTCCAACACACCATCCTGGTAAGAGAAACGCTCCTCATGGTAATCATAGGTCATGATGGGGGGGAGGTCACTTGGCAGCTGGATATGTTTGGTTAATTCAGCAAGGAGCTATCTTGTTAAAGGAAAGTTTATAATTAGTTTTTGTAACGACTCTTTTAAATCAGTCTGCTTATAATGAAATCACTATTTAATTTACATTAAATAATTCCAAATTTACAATTATCCTCATATGTTAGGAATTGTTAAGCAATTTTACATATTTTACAGTTTATCAATGTTAGGAAGCACTCTCAAGGAGCACCCTTCTTCAGCACGACGTACTGCAACCTGTATAAACATCCTGACGCAGCACAACGCTACTAGGTGTGTGATATAACAGAACTTGTCTTCTCTCACCTCCCAGGAAATAGCGATCAATTTCCTGCTCTTCAGCTTCCTGCTCATCTCTGGTTCGGTAGGTATGGCTTTCTGGCACTCTCCTCCGTCTGACTGGGCGTCGCACAAGGCCGAGGGTATCTCCATGTCAGTCTTCCTGTATGCAGGATCAGTTGCCTACCTACTTGATACAGTCCTCGTCACTAAGAACTATTGCTGTGGACCTAAAGTCCGGCTCAGTGAACCTAGCGAATCCACCGCCTAGGCTGGTTGCGATCTTAAGAACCTTCCTGACCCAGCTTATCTACCGCTTAAACTGGTAGCAAACACAAAACGGCACCACTGTCTAAAGCAGTTGTGAACCCGGAAATGTCTACAGTGCCTATCGCCTAGACCGTATAGTCAGCTATGCTCTATAGTCATCCTAACACTGGAGTTAAACATCACAACCATCACCAAAGAATAGCTTGAACTGATTATATTTAAATGTAGCTTTAATCCTCAATAATACATTTTGTTCAGAAATGAACTCTGCTTATTTACATCATGTTTTCAGGCATACTTACTGACAATACAATACCCACAGTATAATGTAACTATCTGGTCCTCTCTGAAGTTCATGTGTTTATTTCTATCAGCATAGTTTGTAAAAAAATACTGTAAATATTTTTTCTATGTAACTAGAGTTTGATTACTCCTTAATTATTTACTGATGAAGGAGGCGGCCAAGAATATTGAGAATATCTGATTAGTTGTATCCCAATTAGTATAGCTTAACCCTTTGTACATATTTGCACTCTCAGTTAGGGCAACTGACTTAATTAAGATTGTCAGAATTTCCTTGAATGTTCTTAGGTGCTTCTCTGCACATTGTGGCTGGAGAGAACACACTCATATCCCGTGTCTCACGTCGTGTAATCTCAAATCCAAGCATCAGGCTAATTCTGTTCAACATGTTCACTTTCAACTTTCTACCTTTACACACATTCCCAAACTCATCCACTAACCTTTGCAATTTTTCTTTAGAATCTCCCATAAGCACAGTATCATCAGCAAAAAGTAACTGTATCAATTCCCATTTTGAATTTGATTCCCCAAAATTTAATCCCACCCCTCTCCCGACCAGTGGTTTCTCTCCCTTAGCGAGAAACCACTGGTCAGAGAGCTGTCCGGATAGTGACTTGGTGAAATGAGTCAATTACGTCCTCGTGAATTTCTTTATTAAGCGATGACATTACATGTACAAGTCAGGTCAGATAATAGATTACAAAAGCAGCAGCTTGTGAGTGTAGGTGCGGCCAGAGTCAAGCCTAGTTACTAACATCCACTAACTTATTAACTATATTTACTCGCTCACAATTCAATTAAGAGAATCTGTTTATTAATTACTATAATTCATCATAACAACGACGAATATAAAAAACAACATTGCAGTTCCATGCAATAAAATCATGGAGGTGTTTATCGCTTCAACTAGTTAACTGTCACTATCTCTATGATAATTATTTATCTCATGTTATCTACCTTCACACAGTAATTACTCACACCACATTAACTCTACTGCCTCACCTTTCTCAGTATTAAAAAATGTATTTCCTTCATCGTCTACCGCATCATGTGATGATGTACCCACATCTTGTAATGATGTACCCACATCATGTGATAATGTACCCACATCATGTGATGATGTACCTACATCATGTGATGATGTACATACTTCATGTGATATACCCACATCATGTCATGATGTACCCACATCATGTGATGTACCCACATCATATAATGATGTACCCACATCATGTGATGTACCCACATCATGTGATGTACCCACATCATGTGATGTACCCACATCATCTGATGTACCCACATCATCTGATGTACCCACATCATGTGATAATTTACCCACATCATGTGATAATGTACCCACATCATCTGATGATGTACCCACATCATGTAATGATGTACCCACATCATGTGATGATGTACCCACACCATTTGATGATGTACTTACATCAAGTGTACCCACATCATGTGATGATGTACTCATATCATGAGGTGACGTACCTACATCATGTGATAATGTACCCACATCATGTGATGATGTACCAACACCATGTGATATACCTGCATTATGTGATATGTACCTACATCATGTCATGATGTGCCTACATATGATGATGTACCTACATCATGTAATGATGTACCCACATTATGTGATAATGTACCCACATCATTTGATGATGTACCCACATCATGTGATGATGTAATCACGCGTGATGATGTACCCATATCATGTGATGTACCCACACCATTAGATGATGTACCCACATCATGTGATGATGTACCAACATCATGTGATGATTTACTCGCATCATGTAATGATGTACCCACATCATGTGATGATGTACATACATCATGTGATGTACCCACATCATGTGATAATAAACCCACATCATGTGATGATGTACATACATCATGTGATGTACCCACATCATGTGATAATAAACCCACATCATGTGATGATGTACCCACATCACGTAATGATGTACCCACATCAAATAATGACGTACCCACATCATGTAATCATGTACACACACCATTTGATGATGTACCTACGTCATGTGATGATGTACCTACATCAATTGATGATGTACCTACATCATGTGATGATGAATTCACATTAATTTTGATGTACCTACATCATGTGATGATGTACCCACATCATGTGATGATTTACTCGCATCATGTAATGATGTACCCACATCATGTGATGATGTACATACATCATGTGATGTACCCACAGCATGTGATAATGTACCCACATCATGTGATGATGTACCCACATCACGTAATGATGTACCCACATCATGTGATGATGTACCCACATCATGCAATGATGTACCCACACCATTTGATGATGCACCTACATCATGTGATGATGTACCTACATCATGTGATGGTGTACCTACATCATGTGATGATGTATTCACATTAATTATGATGTACCTATATCATGTGATGATGTACGCACATCATGTAATGATATACCCACACCATTTGATGTACCTACATCATGTGATGATGTATTCACATTAATTATGATGTACCTACATCATGTGATGATGTACCCACATCATGTAATAATGTACCCACACCATTTGATGATGTACCTACATCATGTGATGATGTACCCACATCATGTGATGATGTACCCACATCAATTATGATGTACCTACATCATGTGATGATGTACCCACATCATGTAATGATGTACCCACACCATTTGATGATGTACCTAAATCATGTGATGATGCACCCACATCATGTAATGATGTACCCACACCATTTGATGATGTACCTACATCATGTGACGATATACCCACATCATGTGATGATGTACCTACATCATGTGATGACGTACCCACATCTTGTGATGATGTACCTACATCATGTGATGATGTACCAACATCATGTGATGTACCCACATCATGTGATGATGTACCCACACCATGTGATGATGTACCCACATCATGTGATGATGTACCCAAACCATGTGATGATGTGCCCACATCATGTGATGTACCCACATCATGTGACGATGTACCTACATCATGTGATGATGTACCTACATCATGTGATGATGTACCCACATCATGTGATGATGTACCTACATCATGTGATGATATACCTACATCATGTGATGATGTACCCACATCATGTGATGTATCCACATCATGTGATGATGTACCCACATCATGTGATGTATCCACATCATGTGATGATGTACCCACATCATGTGATGATGTACCTACATCATGTGATGATTTACCTACATCATGTGATGATGTACCCACACCATGTGATGATGTACCCACATCATGTGATGATGTATCTACATCATGTGATGATGTACCTACATCATGTGATGATGTACCCACATCATGTGATGATGTACCTACATCATGTGATGATGTACCTACATCATGTGATGATGTACCTACATCATGCGATGATGTACCCACATTTTGTGATGATCTATCTACATCATGTGATGATGTACCCTCATCACGTAATGATGTACCCACATCATGTGATGATGTACCCACATCATGTGATGATGTATCTACATCATGTGATGATGTACCTACATCATGTGATGATGTACCCACATCATGTGATGATGTACCTACATCATGCGATGATGTACCCACATCATGTGATGATCTATCTACATCATGTGATGATGTACCCACATAATGTAATGTGTCGACGCCCTCGGCACAGAATTGTTAAGAGAAATTGAACAAGAAGAATAAATAAAAACTGCCAGTAACTCAAAATTAAAAATACAACATTATGGGATGGACCCAGACCTAAATTGTATTTGTTAAAGATCATATCTGCAACTGAAGACAAGTGTAGTACACAAGTGTAGTACACAAGTGTAGTACACAAGTGTAGTACACAAGTGTAGTACACAAGCGTAGTACACAAGTGTAGTACACAAGTGTAGTACACAAGTGTATTACCAAAGTGTGTACACAAGTGTAGTAACACAGTGTAGTACACAAGTGTAGTACACAAGTGTAGTACACAAGTGTAGTACACAAGCGTAGTACACAAGTGTAGTACACAAGTGTAGTACACAAGTGTAGTACACAAGCGTAGTACACAAGCGTAGTACACAAGTGTAGTACACAAGTGTAGTACACAAGTGTAGTACACAAGTGTAGTACACAAGTGTAGTACACAAGTGTAGTACACAAGCGTAGTACACAAGTGTCGTACACAAGTGTAGTACACAAGTGTAGTACACAAGTGTATTACCAAAGTGTAGTACACAAGTTTAGTACACAAGTGTAGTACACAAGCGTAGTACACAAGTGTCGTACACAAGTGTAGTACACAAGTGTAGTACACAAGTGTATTACCAAAGTGTAGTACACAAGTGTAGTACACAAGTGTAGTACACTTTGGTAATACACTTGTGTACTACACTTGTGTACTACACTTGTGTACGACACTTGTGTACTACGCTTGTGTACTACACTTGTGTACTAAACTTGTGTACTACACTTTGGTAATACACTTGTGTACTACACTTGTGTACTACACATTGTGTACGACACTTGTGTACTACGCTTGTGTACTACACTTGTGTACTACACTTGTGTACTACACTTGTGTAGTACACAAGTGTCGTACACAAGTGTAGTACACAAGTGTAGTACAACAAGTGTATTACAAAGTGTAGTACACAAGTTTAGTACACAAGTGTAGTACACAAGCGTAGTACACAAGTGTCGTACACAAGTGTAGTACACAAGTGTAGTACACAAGTGTATTACCAAAGTGTAGTACACAAGTGTAGTACACAAGTGTAGTACACAAGCGTAGTACACAAGTGTCGTACACAAGTGTAGTACACAAGTGTAGTACACAAGTGTATTACCAAAGTGTAGTACACAAGTGTAGTACACAAGTGTAGTACCCAAGTGTAGTACACAAGTGTAGTACCCAAGTGTAGTACACAAGTGTAGTACACATATGTAGTACACAAGTTTAGTACACAAGTGTAGTACACAAGCGTAGTACACAGGTGTAGTACACAAGTGTAGTACACAAGTGTAGTACACAAGCGTAGTACACAAGCGTAGTACACAAGTGTAGTACACAAGTGTAGTACACAAGTGTATTACCAAAGTGTAGTACACAAATGTAGTACACAAGTGTAGTACCCAAGTGTAGTACACAAGTGTAGTACCCAAGTGTAGTACACAAGTGTAGTACACATATGTAGTACACAAGTTTAGTACACAAGTGTAGTACACAAGCGTAGTACCCAAGCGTAGTACACAAGCGTAGTACCCAAGCGTATTACCCAAGTGTAGTACACAAGTGTAGTACACAAACGTAGTACACAAGCGTAGTACCCAAGTGTAGTACCCAAGCGTAGTACACAAGTGTAGTACCCAAGTGTAGTACACAAGTGTAGTACACATATGTAGTACACAAGTGTAGTACACAAGTGTAGGACACAAGTGTAGTACACAAGTGTAGTACCCAAGTGTAGTACACAAGTGTAGTACACAAACGTAGAACCCAAGCGTAGTACCCAAGTGTAGTACCCAAGCGTAGTACACAAGTGTAGTACCCAAGTGTAGTACACAAGTGTAGTACACATATGTAGTACACAAGTGTAGTACACAAGTGTAGTACACATATGTAGTACACATATGTAGTACACAAGTGTAGTACACAAGTGTAGTACACAAACGTAGAACCCAAGCGTAGTACACAATAGTACACAAGCGTAGTACACAGCCTAGTGCATAAGCGTAGTACACAAGTGTAGTACACATATGTAGTACACAAGTGTAGTACACAAGTGTAGTACACAAGCGTATTAC